TTTTACAATCATTACTTTCCCGAACCATCCTGAATCCAAAGTGGTGTTTGTCCCTGTTCCTAACAATCTCATAAAATCTTCTACGGATTCTCCTTATCTCCGATTTCAACGATCAAAAACAAAAAATGGATCCGTTTTGATTTGTCAAGCAGGATATAATGTGCGCAGTTCCGCCATTCAAAAACCCCGCGTCTGAATGAGGTGTTTTGGCTTTATTCCTACCAAATATTGTACACATCCCCAGTATTATTTTCCAACACGTCCCCAGCCCCACTCCTTTCCTGTATGCATTTATTTATGAAGGAGATACCTGCCTCTCTTCCCGCAGCGTCTCTTACCACTTTCATCTTCAGATCCAAGGCTCACCATCACTGCCTTAGGTATATCGTATCTAAATTTTTAAATCTCTGCATAAGCTGATTCTATCTGCATAATCTGATCAAAGTCATCAGATTTCTGTAACAGTAAGTACAGTGAGGTTATTGATCTTGCATGTGCTACCGGTAATGGAAGAGACATGCTTATGTTATCGACGTACGGAAGGAGGTTACATGGTGTCTGTAGTTGCCTGGTTATAGTTTGCTTTGTTTGAGAGAATTATTGGGCTTCTTTTTGAAATGGCGAAATCTTATTGAAATTGGTAAAGTAACTGACGTACTGAAATTGAAATTGGGTAGTGTTACGTTGTGGTGATCCCTACGTAAGAATATGTCACTTAACCTGTGAAAGTAGGCAACTTTACTTCACCTGATTTTGTTTCTTAGATGCATATCTCAACCCCAGATGTATTTGTTGCCCTGAATTGGCTTGGATAGCTGGGTAGGTGTCTCTTTCAAGAGTTCATTCTTATCTTACCCACAAAAAAAGCATGTCTCTAGGAGGGTCATTTCCCATGATGCATTATTCAATTGCAGGGAAATGCAACTAACCAATTCCCCTTGGCACCAAATCAAGGGAAATGGTGTAGTTTTTCTCATTAATATATTTATATTTGATAACAGCAGTTGGTTCAAGTGTTCTCAAACCGAGTTGTATGGTACATGCTTTGGTTCTGATGTCATCAATATGCAACTTGCACTGAGGAATCTGGCATTGTTATTCTAGGAAATCTTTATAATATTTATGCTTGTGTTTGCTTTTTTGAAGGATGGGAAGATTCGAATGACAAATTGACAATCTCTTTTTTGCTGAATAATATCATGGAGCGGCCATCTATTACCATTTTGTTCTTGATTTTCTTGTTTCTCCTACTGCAATCCAAAGAATCTTTATCTGCTTCCAATTTCTTGATTGGCCTTGGAAGTTATGACATAACGGGGCCAGCTGCCGATGTCAATATGATGGGATATGCAAACATGGAACAAATTGCATCTGGAGTTCACTTCAGATTGCGAGCTCGTTCTTTTATTGTGGCAGAACCTCAGGGGAATCGTATAGTTTTTGTGAACCTTGATGCTTGCATGGCCTCACAACTCGTTGCAATTAAATTACTTGAGAAATTAAAAGCAAGGTAAATTTATTTCCTTATTCTTTAAGTCCTATTTATAATTTTAAAGTGGTTATGTTACAGAAGCTATGCTGTTATTGTAGAATATCTGAGCAATTGAAATAAGTAAATTTCTTGGATTTCTTTATTTCTTCAGGTATGGTGATCTTTACACTGAGAAGAATGTTGCCATTAGTGGTATTCACACTCATGCTGGCCCTGGAGGCTATCTCCAATATGTTGTATATATTGTAACATCTCTTGGATTTGTAAGGCAGTCATTTGATGCCCTTGTTGATGGTATTGAGCACAGCATTATACAAGCACACGAAAATCTACGCCCAGGTTCTATTTCTATAAATAATGGTAAGGTCACTCATAGTTTCATGCTTTCTATTTGCTGCATGTCCACATCATATATAGTGTCTTGGTGCATTTCTATTTTTCCTTTAAAAATCAAGCCTTTCTTTCTGCTTTCCCCTATCCTTATGCATTTTGGGTTTGCTGATACAAATTTTAGGCAAGTTTCTATGAAGTAGTGGCAGAATGCATAGTTAACTGTGTGTCTGTTAAAGCACTTGGCTTTTGCCATGTCCTCGAAGTCTCTGAGGAAGAGGGCTTCCAGGGCTAGTACTGAAATCTGTCAACTGAATAGATTTTAATTTAACGTTCAGTTTTTGAAAGTGAATTATGCATTTTTCCCTTAATGTGTTTTTGTATACTATTAAAAACTTTGTTCAAAAATGAATGTTTTATTAACTTCAAATCATGGTGAGACAGGAGAGCTCTTGGATGCTGGCATAAACCGCAGTCCTAGTGCTTATCTCAACAATCCAGCAGTTGAACGGGGTAAATATAAGTACAATATTGATAAGGAAATGACACTCATCAAGTTTGTTGATGAGAAGTGGGGTCCAATAGGTAGCTTTAACTGGCTTCCAACACATGGAACTTCTATGAGTCGTACAAACTCTTTGATTAGTGGTGACAACAAAGGTGCTGCAGCACGATTTATGGAAGATTGGTTTGAACAGAATGGTTCTGTGAAAAATGTTGGTAGTTTTCCCTCCAATGAATCTAGAACTAGCAGAATTCCTCGAAGAGTTTCAAGCCTCTTCTCTAACCTTAATGATGAAGGTAAGTCAATTCTTCTTGTTGGTTTCCATTCTATACATACATATTACATTTGCTAAACTAGTTGTAGTTAAGACTCTTTTATTGTATCTGGTGATGATTAAAAGGACGGCAACAGAAATCAAAACTGCATCTTAATACTCTATGGAGAATGTGATGAGCCAACCCACCTGACCATATAATCTTTCTATTTTGAACTTCAAATATAAACTAAATTCTACATGTGCAAGTGTAGAGTTTGTTTCATTGCATGGGAACCATGGTGCCACTTTTGAAATGGATTTAAGCCTATTTTTTACCTGATACAAATGCCCATACTGATTTCCTGCAGTAGCACTGTTTAAGAACCACCAAAAAATGTGGTAGCAAAAATAAATATACAATATAGGTGCCCATTACATGTTTCATATTTTCTGTTATTACTAGGAAACATGAATTGCTTCCACCTTTGCCATACATACTCTATTCTGATCAGGTAAGAATTTGATGGAGCTTGCTGCCAAGTTTAAATCTTCTCAAGGACAAGCAGCAACTAAATATCTAAGTGTTTCGAGGCGAGTCAGGAATGGTTTAAGTCAGGCATATACATCTCGGTTTGTTTCTGCATTTTGTCAATCAAATTGTGGTGATGTAAGTCCAAACACTCTTGGTGCATTTTGCATGGACACTGGCCTGCCCTGTGACTTCAATCAAAGCACCTGCAATGGGAAAAATGAACTGTGTTATGGACGGGGTCCAGGGTATGTGTGGTTAGATATCTTTGTTTTTCCTTTTTAATTCATTTAAATTCATTTAAACTAGGAATTTTATTAAACTATACACATGTTCATTTCTTTATTTGGCAGCTATCCTGATGAATTTGAGAGTACACGCATTATTGGTGAAAGGCAATTCCAAAAAGCTGTGGAGCTATTCAGCAGAGCAACTGAGAAACTGGATGGGAAGGTTGGATATCAACATGCTTATGTAAATTTCTCCAACCTCGAGGTCTCAATTCCTCTAGCAGGAGGGGGTAATGAGGTGGTGAAAACATGTCCAGCAGCCATGGGATTTGCATTTGCTGCAGGAACTACAGATGGCCCTGGAGCTTTTGATTTCAAGCAGGGAGATGATAAGGTAAGCAAAGGTTCTGGTGCATGGTTGAGGTGGACACATTTAAATAAATTCCTTGAATAAGGGGACGTGGATTTTATTCTTGATTGTCCTTCTAGGGGAATGCCTTTTGGATGTTGGTGAGGGACTTTCTGAAAGCACCAAATAAAGAACAGATTGCTTGTCAGAGCCCGAAGCCTATTTTGCTTGATACTGGGGAAATGAAAGAACCATATGACTGGGCAGTAAGTAATTGTTTAGAATTCATTTAGTATAATTTTGTTTGAGGCTCACAAAATAATTTAAATTCATATGGCATCTACAGACACTCACCCAATAAGCCTATTTAAATGGTTCCTTTTTGCAATGAAAAATGTTGAAATATTTAGATAATTGCTACAAAGCTTTCAATTTCCACCAGAGACATGAGTTTGTTTATATTGTCTGCTTTTCATTTTCACAGATATGCAGATATGGTTTTGCTAATATTTTTATTTGGAAAAATTCATGCAGCCATCAGTTCTTCCAGTTCAAATTCTGCGGATAGGGCAACTCGTCATTCTCTGTGTACCTGCAGGTAGAAGCAACTTTTTATTTTTTATTTTTTATTTTTTATTGTGTATTTTCTTAACCTTGTTTTCTTGTAAGTGCTTGTTAACCCCAATGTCATCTTGAAATGGTGGTTGAAATGGGAAAAGAAATTCTACGGTTTGTTAAGTTCTTCTGCACCTTAATTATGTGCTGATAAGGATATTACCTCTCTGGCTCTCTCCCTCTCACGTTTTGATGCATGTTTTATTCTTTCTAATCCTTTTATTCAATGCAGAATTTACAACCATGGCTGGACGGCGTCTACGAGATGCTGTTAAAACAGTCCTCACTTCTGGAGGCAATAAGGAATTTGACAACAATGTCCATATCGTGATTGCAGGGCTGACAAACACATATTCTCAGTATGTTACCACCTTTGAGGAGTATCAGGTGCAGAGATATGAGGTCTGTATCACGCTTTTCCTCATTTTTGGTTACTTCTTGAGCATATATTACTAATGTTCCTGAAGCACAAAGTGTATCTTTACCAAGTATGTCAGATTTATATTTGAGAGGTAATTTGATTGTTAGGGAGCCTCCACCCTTTATGGTCCACACACCCTTAGTGCCTACATTCAGGAGTTCAAGAAACTAGCAGCAGCTCTCATCTATCCCCAGACCATCCAGCCAGGCCCTCCACCACCAGATCTCCTTGACAAGCAGATTAGCTTTCTGACACCTGTTGTCCTGGACTCAACTCCCCCTTCTGTGAAATTTGGAGATGTCAAAGATGATGTTCCTCAAAATTCCACCTTCAAGAGGGGTGATATGGTCTCAGCCACCTTCTGGTCTGCTTCTCCAAGGAATGACCTCATGACTGAGGGGACATTTGCATTGGTTGAATTTCTCAAAGATCAGAAGACATGGATCTCTGCCTACGACGACGATGACTTTTGTCTGCGGTTTAAGTGGTCTAGGCCTGCACAACTGAGTGCTCAGAGCTACGCAACCATAGAGTGGAGGATCCCAGTGTTAGCAGTCTCGGGTGTGTACAGGATAACACATTTTGGTGCTGCAAAACCACTCTTTGGATCAATCCAATATTTTACAGGTTCTTCTAGTGCTTTTGTTGTGGCATAGCAAGGTTGCATGGATGAAATCATTCCAGATATTAGTTTATGTTTTTCAACAAAAAAAAAAAAAAATGTCCCTCATACTTAAAGTCTCCTACCATTTCAGAAAGAACTGTAACAAGAGGCAGTGCCTCTGAGTTTTAGATGAATAAAAAGGGAGGAAAACATCCACCTTGGGTTCGAACCCACGTCCACAAGGTTAAGAGCCTTGCACTCTACCGAGTAAGCTAGACGGGCATTTTTACCTGAAGCTTCTGGATTCATGGTACTATTTTAAATATGTACCGACAAGTTTTTGATGTATTTATATATTTTTGAA